CCAGCTACCGCGGGCGGGCCAGGGGCGGGGGTGGCGGGCGGGACTGCTCGGGGAGCATTGCTCGCTATGGGTGGAGGACCGGGGGCGGCGGCCGGGGCGAATCAGCAAGGGTTGCCCGCTGCCGGGGGTGGGATGCGGCCGCCACAAAACGAAACGCGCATTTGATTGAGTCTTGCAGCATTTGCTTAGGTCATGTAGATGAACAAATGCAGCATCTGTGACAATTTTTTGCATTTTTTCCTACAGGGGCGAGGGGGGCAAGCACAGACGAGCGTTGGGGCTGCACCTTGTTTTTTCTTGGCGGGTTGTAGCGGATTTTTTTTTTAGTTCCGTAGGTTCTGATTTTGGTTTGGCCCATTTGGGATGTACAAGGTGTCACGTGTCGTGTTGCACCCATGCTGTAACAACTGCTTTGGAAGCAATTAGACTACAAGTGTTCGCCCGACCGACGGACCCCGCACTGCTGCCGATAGAGCTTACCATGTATTGGTGCTGTACTAGCTGCATCGGCGACGAAAGTTATCATGTTTCACGTTCACAGCGCTTCAATAGCTTGCGCAGTTCGTTTGCTTGGCGTCTGCTGTAGTACTCCAGATGCGGAGTGCGCTGCCGTGGTATCGTACGGCCGGCACCTTACAGCGGCGCATACAAAACATTCAACGACAGAGTACACACAAACGGGCTTGCCAGATCATCATGCTGCGTGCCCGCTGGTAATGTAGTACGCTGTCCCCCCGCCTAACACACAGCAGGGGCAGTAGACCGTTGGTCACGCAGGTCTTACATACAGGGTGATGTGTATATGCTGTCGTGTGTATGTGCATGCATACAGCACATATACACGTACATACACCGCCGATACACCCCCGTGCTGCCCTCCTACTCGCCGCCACACGCAGTACCTCATGGCGCACAGCATCACATGACATGGCAGACAGGCAGTACCATCGTTCGCCTTTCATGTTTTAAGAGGATGGCCGCTGGAGTGAGGAGGCAGTGCGGCGGTTGCAGTTGTTCAGTGTTCATTGTATGCGCGGCGGCGAATCTCGCTAAAATACTGTTGACTGCCAGAATCGAGCCGAACTGCTGAGGAGACAAAAATCGACGTGGGAGACTATCTCAACGCAGAGTTATCTGCTCCATCCCACGGTGAGAATATCCTGTACACCAGGAGTCAGTCATCTGGGTCACATAATCTTCAGTTCGGTTGTGACGTGCTCCGCACAATGTGGACTTGCCCCCCAATTGCTGGGAGTTTACGGTGCGAACCCCCCCCAGAACAAAAAAAAAATCTAGGCATGCCCAGAAAGTGCCCAGATGCCCAGAAATGACTTGAAAATAAAAAATTCAGTGGTCCATTTTCTTGCTCGGCAACCAATTCATTCCCAAACAGAGGACACTTAGAACCAAAACCGTCCGGAGAAACAACCCCCCGGAAGAACCTTCCCGGCGATTGTTACGGCGGTACCCCGCGAGCATAGTTTAGGTGCTTTCATGCAGCGGATACTGCTGTAGGGAGGTGCACATTCATTTCTCTCCTGGGGGATATCGTTGTCCAGTAACCTCTTGAGGTAATTAGACACCCGCCACCTTCCGGAGGAATGCATGTATGTCAGATACCTCCGGAGGAACATTTTCGGGCTTTTTCCTCAGGAGAAAATTACACTACAAAAACTCCTCGACGAAGCAAGAAGGGCTTCCTCCGTGTTTGGGTGCGGTAGCCCGTCAGAGGCCGAAAGAGAAAGAAGGTTGACTCAAGACCTTGGTTGATTAGAGAGTGAGAGACATGCGGTAGGCAACACCATCGCCATGCAGCATGCCCATCAACACATTTCATCCCCGTACCCCCCGGAGGCCCCGTAGACAGTATACTCTGCCGAGCACCCCAAACAGTCCCCCTGCTCGGTACGAGATACGATCTACGAAATCCCCGTCACGACTATCATTGCCAGGTAAAACGGCGATAAATCAAACTACGCATCCAAACGGAAATCATCCACCATTCATTCCAATTCAAACAATTTCCCAATAAAACAATGTTCTACGAAACCTGTCGATCTCCCAATAAAACATGCTCTACGAAATCTTTCAAATCTTCTGATGATATCAAACTACTACCTCCTTAAAGGTCTGTCAATTAACAATCAACCCCTTTGAGAAAAATGCTTTACCAAATTCTCAAGAAGTCAAAACGCAAACAATAACCCTTGGAAAAATCCCCAGCAAAGATACACATTACATCAGAATCACGTCAGAACGGGGACGGGTAACTCCGGGAAAACGTGTCCAACGTCCTAACTTACTCAGAACAAATTCCTCAGATAAACATTCATGTTTCAACTCATTTTCCAGCTCAAATAACCTTCGGAAGCACAAAGGCTTCAACCATGACTTACGAGAACATGCCAAATCCTTCCTCCAATACCCAATACCTTCACAAATATACCAGTCCAACAGCCCCCCTGCTGTAACATCCATCCCAAACGCGAAGAAACCAAACAAACAATTCCAAAACAAACATGAAGAAACTAACAAATCCAAAACAGACAATCAGCAATCCAGCAGCCCCCCTGCTGGGACATTTCATATAAACGCAACGAAAATCCCATTCAATATTCAATTCCATGTCACCTCCGCAGGTAAAACGCGGAAGACGATCCAAACATGAACTACCCAAGTACCATTAGCCAACATCAATTCCATATAAAATCCCCAGGGAAAACACGGAAAATCTCAACATGAACTACCAAACCCGATGTCAGAAACACTGCTTGTTGTGCTGCGGCGGACAGCATGGTATCACATTCCCCCCCCCATGATTTCCGACAGCAGTGCAACAATCAGGCGTGATTCCGCAAAATCCAGCATGCCAATTCTGCATCCAACTTCATCAACTCCAAACCGAAACAAGAAAACAAAACATATATTATCAAAGAAAAAGCGTCACACGTCCAGCACATACCAGTCTGCCGTACAGGCCTACTTGGAAAGGAAAATTGGTACTCCGCAAGGATTGACTCGTCGGGTACGGCACATCGGAGGGACAGAGAAACGGTGCGTGCCCCCCAACGTCTTTACCCAGCACGTCGCACGCCAAGCCAACGCCTACGAATATCCAGTACCACCAGAAAAACATAGCGGTAACTACCATAGAGACTGTTATCCCAACAAAGAGGGAAAACCAAAGTGGAGCAAACCGTACGCAGAATAATACTACCAACGCCATATTGTGAGATATTTTCTTGGCAAACAACAGCCCCCCGGCCGCAACATTCCATTTGCCTCCCAGAAAAACAACAGTAATCTACCATGGAAATTTCCTGCCATTTGGCCGTGGAAATTAGTATCGCTGCAAGGTAAAACGCGGGTGGGCATCTCGACAGAACAAAACAAAAACAAATCCAAACCTCCAAATGTGCCAACGATAGGAAAAATGATTTGCAGACGGTGAAAAATGCAGCATTGTATCTGACGATCAAAACACAAGAACAACATCCTGCACAAAACAAATTTCAGAAAAATGACAAGAATACGCAAACAAACATCACGTGCCTTGGCGAGTTTAAGACCCCAGCAGAAGTCGCGCTGCTTGCCGTCATTGTTGGACTCGCCCGGTCCTCCGCACTCCCTTCCCCGCTTCATGATCCTCCTGTCGTTGTTCCGGTCGCGAACACGGGCTCCCCGGCCGTTGCCCCCCGCGACATCTTTCCACGGTCGAACGGGGTGTCCATCCCCATCACCGGCCCCACTCTCCCAGCCTTCAGCCGGCACAGCTCCCCCGGGTCGAAGGGGCGCAGCAGTGCCCCAAACCAGGCCACATCCATCCTCTCTGCCTTGTCGTTGCTACTGCTGCCGCTGCTGCTGCTGCTGCTGTTGCTGCTGGAGCCATCGACCAGGTCGTCCACCCCGGGATAGTTGGCGCCGCGCACCCCCGAACACACGGTGCCGGGATCGAAAGGGTGCGTGGACGGCCCCCTCTCGCCACAGACGCTGTCATCCTGCAGCCATCAACCTCCCCTGCGCACCAACCGCCATCATCGCTGCCGTCGTCGATGCCGTTGACCACCGCTTCTCCGTTGCTGACCGCCCCCCCAACCGATATGGTGGGGGAAACGTTACCGACGGTTGCCATCGTAACGGCCGGTGCCGTCGCCGCGGTCGCGGGTCGTGCCGTCACCGATGTCGCCACTTCAGCCGCCGATGCCGCCACTGTAGCCACCTGCGCGGGCTCTCGAGCCATTCTCCCCGCCGCCGCAGCGGGAGAAACAACACCGTCGGGTGCCGCCGCCGTTGCCGCTGGAACCGCCGTCGATACCGGCGCTCCAACCACCAACGCGGGCGCTCCGGTTGTTCTCCCCGCCACCGTCGCGGAGATAACAGTGTGGCCGGGCACCGCCGCCGTCGCCGCTGGAACCGCCGCCGATGCCTCTACTCCAGCTGTCGCCGCGAGCCCTCCGGGCGCTTCCTCCGCCGTCGCTGCGAAGAAAACACTACCGCCGCCGTAGGTCGCCACCGTCGCCTCTGGAGCTGCCGCCGATGCCGCCGCTCCTGCCACCACTGCAGGGACCCCGGCAGTCCCCCCCGCCGCCGTCGCGGCGACAACACTACCGCCGCCGTAGGTCGCCGCCGTCGCCTCGGGAGCTGCCGCCGCTCGTGCTGCCACCGCGGGGACTCGGGTCATCCCCCCTGCCGCCGCCACAGGGAAAACACTGCCGCCAGAGGTCACCGCCGTTGCCGCTGGAGCTGCTGCCGATGCCGCCGCTCCTGCCGCCACCGCGGGGACTCTGGCCATCCCCCCTGCCGCCGCCGCGGGGAAAACACTGCCGCCAGAGGTCGCCGCCGTCGCCGCCGGAGCTGCTGCCGATGCCGCTGCTCCTGCCGCCACCGCGGGGACCCCGGCCGTTCCCCCCGCCGCCGCCGCGGGGAAAACACTGCCGCCGGAGGTCGCCGCCGTCGCCGCCGGAGCTGATGCCGATGCCGCCGCTCCTGCCGCCACCGCGGGGACCCCGGCCGTTCCCCCCGCCGCCGCCGCGGGGAAAACACTACCGCCGGAGGTCGCCGCCGTCGCCGCTGGAGCTGCTGCCGATGCCGCCACTCTAGTCGCCAACGCAGGCGCTCCGGCCATTTCCCCCGCCCCAGCAGCGGGGAAAACATCATCGCAGACACTGCCACCAGCGTGAACTATGTCCACAGAATCATTCCATCCAAACCATCCGTCATCATCACTGTCCACAGCGCCGCCAGCGTGAACCATGTCGACGAAATCAGAGCGGTACTCGCTCTCTGCCATCACCTCGGCGCCAATGTGAACCAGGTCGACAAAATCAGAGCGGTACTCGCTTTCTACCACCACCTGCTGCTGTACGACCGAGCTTCCACCGATGTCTATGCAGCTGCCGCCGCCATTGACGCCCATCCAGCAGCCACCGCGGACGATACGGCCGTCATCCTCGCCGCTGCTGCCATGAAGATGCACGGCGCAGTTCCGCCACATATGGCCGTACTGACCACAGGCGCCGCACGTACCCTCGAACCTGCGGGGTGCGGCGCATTCTTCGCCGTGGTGGCCGTTCCTGCCGCACCGAGTGCAATGGTATACCGTACCAGGCGGAGGGGGTGATTCCTGCTGGAAATACACGGCGTTGCTCCCGTAGTCATATATCCCACCAACTCCGGTTGGCGGCAGCTGCTGTTGCTGCCGCGCCAACTGCTGGTGCTGCCGCGCCTGGTGGCTCTGAGTGAAAACGCAGTGTTGGTTCTGCTGAGGGACAAAACCACCACGAGAACACTGCTGTACCTGCGATGGCTGCTGCTGCCATTGAGCACTTCATCGCTGCTGCTGCTGTTGTTGTTGTTGTTGCTGCCGCCTAAGTCTCTCCTTCTCATACTCGGCAGCCTCCGCAGCTCTGAGCACCTTCACCAGCCTCTCCACCTCCGACTCGGCAGCTCGTAGCTTCTCTGCTGCGTTGCGCGACCTCTCCTCCATCTTGATGCGCACAACTGCTGTAGTCTCCTCCCTTTGGGAATCTCTTCCTATTCCGCCGCTTCTCTCCGCCATAGTCTACACTTGAAAATATCCCGTACCCTGCTGTCCCAGCCCTGAAGCGCTGTCCCAGCAATACACCCCGTGCTGTCCCGGTCCCCGATGGCCACCGTCCCAGCTATACACTACCCGCTGCCGTGCTGTCCCGTCCCCGTTGGCCACGTCCCAGCTTAGCTATATATATCGTATTCGCCGCCCCATTGGCCCGGCACATACAGCTCAGACGCCAATACCCACTACCAACACCAGGCCATACAATATATTGTGTTTGGGTGCGGTAGCCCGTCAGAGGCCGAAAGAGAAAGAAGGTTGACTCAAGACCTTGGTTGATTAGAGAGTGAGAGACATGCGGTAGGCAACACCGTCGCCATGCAGCATGCCCATCAACACATTTCATCCGCGTACCCCCCGGAGGCCCCGTAGACAGTATACTCTGCCGAGCACCCCAAACACTCCGAGGGGAAATCGTAATCCAGTCAACTCCAGCGATTCAACTTTCAGATCTCCCCTGGAAGATTGTGAAGTGTTGCCCTCCGAGGAACTGGCTGTTCGACATTAAGTTTTCCTCTAGGGCAACCCGTTCGTTATGTAATGCTCTGGAGGATGCCGAATCTGCTCCCTCTGAGGAAATCGTGCTTTCAAATCCTCGGAGGACTCCAATTGCCTACCCTCCGAGGAATACATCAGATATATATATATGTACCCCCCAGAGTAGCGTTTCTTAGGCAATGCTCTGGAGGGTGCTGTTACATCGTACCCTCGGCAGGTTTTTTTTTTTGACATCCTCGGAAGGGGCCGATTGTCTCCCCGCCGAGCTTTGTTTTTTATTCTCGGAGTATATCGTCCACAAATCCTCTAGAGGGTTAAATATCCTCCAGAGGATTTCGAACCCTCAAGAGGAGTATTTTTCCTCAGAGGAATATGGGTGGGTAGCCACTTGTCCACCTGTGTAAAATAATAGACCTGCATGCTGAACGCATTTCGTGGTAGGATAAATAGCGCATCTACAGAAAAAACTAATGAAGACTGAATTAAAATTTATTAATTTTCAGGGCGCGTGTACAAAGAACATGTAGGGTAATGTATGTATGTAGGAAGTGATGGGAGAGAGGGTAATAATACGCACGGCGGGCTTCGCAAGGTACTGATCACTGCATGCAATTATCCGACCTATGGCAACGTTACAAGAATGTCCTGTAGGAAAATAGACAACGGAAAATAATACGAACGGTCTTCTGCGCCTTTTACCCGCATTAGTTGCTGCTGCTGTGAACCGGTTGATAGAGTCCACCGCGCGTAGAGAGGAAAAGGGAGAGTCCAGAGATAGATGGAGGCGGGCCACACCGCTCCGGGACAAGAAGACAACTCTATGTGAAACAAGATCGGAACGGTTTTTCATGTGAAGACTACAACAACAACAACAACAACCGCGCGTTATTAGGCCCAAGGTCAGGGGTGGGTCAGAGATGTATTGTAGGAGACTGAGCGGAAAACCCGCTTTCTCGATGATGCGCTATAACAAATTCCGTTCCTCAGCAATCAATCAGTTAGAATAGAAGGCACGCATTGATGACGTCAGCCAGGGGAGGCAAGATCGAACGCCAAGTTTTCTAAGCACGCACGCTGCACACACAAGCCGTCACTCATCACTCCTCCCACTATAATACTCGCCACCCTGCAAGCAGCAAGAAGAAGAAAACACACATCGCGAAAACCTACGTCGTCATCTGCAGGTAAGCATCTCATTATTAAGGCGGACTTCATGTACCATTAGGTCGTGTGTGCTTCGTACCACAACCAACCGCCGCGCGGTTGTTCACTCCATCACTCTTGTCTTGTCGTTGAGAAACTTATGCCAGATAAAAACAAGAATCTACGGGAAGAATTTACACAGCAGAGCACAGATTACCGTAAGAAGAGTCGGAGAGATCGCACCGGGTGTGTACGCATGTCATGTGTTTATATATGCATATGTTTGTCCCATCTATACTGGCGCCGGTTTGCAGGCCTCTCGGCGTATATATCTGACGTATGCATATCAGCCGGGGTCACCGGTGCGATCGCTTTGTTGAATGTGTGTGTGTCTTGTTCCGTGTTTTTTTTTGTTGCGCCCTGGTACCATCTCTCCGACCGACCGGAACGATCTCTCTCTCTCTCTCTCTGACCATGATGCGGAAACTCCAATGAATCACCCCATTAATCTTTTTCAAGGCACCCGTCCCGGTTCAAACTCTTCGACCTGTGCGATGCCCAATGAAACACTCACAGCGCGCCTTACTCGCACTACTATACCGTATACGTACGGCGGTGTAGTTTGCGCGCACCCCGTTTGTTTGCCATCTCCCCGACTGGTGCTATCTTCCGCCTATCTATTTATGGGTATTCTGCACCATTTCCACAAGTAGACGATGTGCGGTGTTCCGTACAAGAACTTAGGCTATTTAGCTTTCCATGCAGTGAGTGGTCATGGGTTTGAATTCGAGTTTGGCTATAATGGCGTCATATATATGCATATGTACCAAAGACAACAAACGGTGTGATTTGCATCTGGGGTACAGGTACATATATTACTACTGCAGTTTTCTTCTTTGTTCCTGCCGCTCCCGGACGGGAATGAACGATGTTCTCACAGCGCGGGCGTAGCGCGCCCACTGTATGCACTGCTGTGAGCCTCAACACAAATACTGTACCCGCACGGACACGTGCACTTCCTTTCATCCCAAGCACATACCGGAGTACGACGTATCTATTACTGTAGCTCTTGTCCCTTCTTTCGGATCCGACGTTTTTTAGGAACAAAATTACCTCGTGTGTCCATCCGTACCACAGCAAAACGTTCTCGCATGAATGTTCTACTTTTTATACACACTACTACCGCAACCAAATGACGCTGTGCGATCTGGTTGTACTCCATATTGTATGCATATCGTATAAGGCATGTTGAACCACGTATCGCAAGTAGTAAAACTGAACACGACTGTATGTTCAGGGCGGGTGTGTAGCTTGCAGATTGATGTGTTGGGCGCACGACAGCGGCCTCAACTTCCCCTGCTTTCGTTGTGATGGATAGGCACGCACGAAACCATGCATAGCAGTGTAGGGTGGTTTGTCTCGCGTCATGCGGAGAAAGTTAATTGCCTGAGGATGGGTTGGTAGAACACGACGTTTTACTTCTATCGGAGGCGGCGATGAGTACGCTTTATTCATAAGTCAGGGTACAGCCGGCAGCCAGTCCGTGAAAAGTCAACAACACTGAAATGCGAGGATGGAGTGCTAAATGAAGTTGTTGTTGTTGTTTTTGTCTTCACATTAAAAACCGTTTCGGTCTTCACTCAGCACTTTCTAATGTCTGTATAGTACTGGTCCAACTGACGCGGACGCCTTCCGTGGTCACAAGCCAACTGCCCCCCACGGGGGGGGTTACACCTTTCTAAAAAAACCAAAACAAAAAAATGGCAACCAGAAATTCTTCCAAGGCGCGATTTGTTGTCCAACCGAAAATAGACCAATAGTACGGAACGACGATCGACGACCCCGGTCAAAGGGATGAAAGAACGAAACGCAAAAAAAGAAAGAAAAGCAAGAGAGAAAAAAAACAGAGAGAGAATAACAAAACAAAAAAAATGGCAACCAGAAATTCTTCCAAGGCGCGATTTGTTATCCAACCGAAAATAGACCAGTAGTAAGGAACGACGATCGACGACCCCGGTCAAAGGGATGAAATAACGAAACACAAAAAAAGAAACAAAAGCAAGAGAAAGAAAAAAAACAGAGAGAGAGAAAGACAACGAAAAAATATCGGCAGATGGACAGGTCCACTTCCAACGCTCCAGTCTACCGGAACAACAACGAAATAGGCAACTACTAACGCGACATCAAACAGATACATGCCGACTTCCGACGACGACACAACATCAAGTCGGGGGCACTGCGAGGGGAGGGGGGGGGGGGTTAGCCACCCTACGGGAAAAGTATGGGGATAAATCCAGCTGGTGTTCCTGCTATCGTCTCCATCATCATCATCATTCCGGGACACATCTCTCTATCCGTTCAGCCATCTCCGTCCTGTTCTCTTCGGCTGCAGTCGTGTCTCCCGTCTTTCCACGTTTCCCCCCCCCTATTTCCTTACCCCCCTGCTCTGCCGTCCTTTTGATATTATTGTCGGTGTTTATCTTGTTCCCTTCCTCCGCGCGTGTTATGCTTAGCTTCTGTCATTTGACCATGAACTTCGAGACACATGACTTAATCGAAAATCGGGATCCATCCGTGGAATGGCGGGGGGGGTAGTTTGCGGGCGGGAGCGGGGACACGAAACAGATATTCACGGGTTTTCAGCTTAGGCATTTTCGCTGAGGCGGGGACCTACTAAACTCTGTCAGATTCGAACTCGACAACTGCTTGCTTTCCCCCACGAGCAGGTCGAACAGATGTAGCTTTAGCCTTTCCAACCAACTGAGCTGCAAAGAGTCTCTCCAATTCATGTGATATATGCACATATTTTCGTACGTGCAGTCGAACTGCTGTTTCATCTCCGGAGAAAGATCAGGCTTGGAGATATAATATGCGGAACATAACCATCTCGACATGATCGGGCGTCAGTGCCGGCGAACGATGTGGTTATGCACGAGTCCCTGCCATGCGACCCCCCCCTCTCCTATTGGCAACTACTGCAATGGACTGTCCATGTTTAAGTGTACATAGTGTACTTGGGGCGGCGGTACCCAGGGGGCGCAGGTATTTTAGTTTGATGTGGGTGTGTATGCGGAAGTTCGTGAACACACATCACGTCATATGGAGCGGGTGGTGAATGGATGATATATGAGGGACGTGGTGCTAGACCTAATCTGACCTAACACTGGCATGACGAAGTCAAACAAGAGGAGGGAGAACTACGTAGTGACACTCTCCCGCACTCTTGACAGTTTTGCTAAAACGCCCACGGGACACGCATGGCTGATGCCAATGGGCCCATGAAGTGCCGATGAAGTGCCGATGAAGTGCCCGCCGTGGGCACTTCAACCTAGAACTTCGCCACTAGCATATCAACCTAGAACATCAACCTAAACCTAGCCACCAGCGCAAACCTGGCACGTATCGTGTGGGCTTGAGGATAGGGTTGGGCTTGTCGTTAGGGATATATTCCGCTAGAGTGTCCGTTCCAAAGCAGATAACAAATTCAACGGCTCTCATTAGCCGCTATTGGGCTGCCCACGGGCTACCCATGGGCATGCTCATGGGCACCCATGGGTCAACCATGGGCAACAAAGTGCCCATGGGCGGCCCATGGGTCACCCATAGGCTGCCCGTGGGTTTCCCATTGGCGTTTTAGAAAAACTGTAGAATGTGTGGGATATAAAATAGACAAAATATGGATGTGCTACTTCCATGGAATTTAACTTGCACGGAAGCCCCAAGGAAATCCCATGGAAATTGAATGGCTTCCATGGAAGTCGAACCTTAGGCTTCCATGAAAGTTATTCAAAACAGGTTTAGGGCAGCTTCCACGGTCTTATCGGGGTTAGGGTAAGGGTCAGGGTTAGGGTAGGGAAGCTAGAATGAATGTATGTCCCAACCCTTCCGTGGTGCAAGTTTACACCGATCCTTCTTCCTATATTTTGTTTTTCAATCTGCCACCCTGTTCTCGACACCGGCGACATGTCTCGCTTGGAAGCACCACCCCCCGACCGTCTCCAGGGCTCCCATCACCTCACTAGCGCCCCTGCCCTCGCCTTCCTCCCCCGCATCTCTTCACCAAGTCAGTGCTTTCGTTGGCGCGTCCAAGAATCACTTCCCCCGAATTATCCTCAACGGAAAAGACGAAAGACGCCTCCATTGTCTTACTGCCCATATATCCCGCTCCTAACCCCTCCCCGAGATACCACTGCCACCTAAACCAGGTGGTACCCACTTCCCGCCGAGCTCGCAGTGTATTGACCTCAATCATGATGCACCGAGGACACGGCTGCGGACTCATCGCCTTCGAGGCCACCTCAACCTTGTGCAATGTAGATATGTCGAGATGGGCGCCACCGCCACACCGTCAAAGCGGGCCGACCGATCGGTTGCTTCATATCGAAAACGGAACACTCCTGGTCCTTGCGTTGATCGAATGCCTTTTCTTGATTGTTCGTTCTGAACCGTACGCTGCCCCTTGCCTGATTTGATGCAGGATAACCATGGCGATGAAGATGACCACGGCAGCGAGGATCGGGATCGCGTCTATTCTCCTTATCGTGCTACTGGCCCTTAGCGGTACCTCGGCCTCCGCCGGCTCGGCTTTGAGGGGCAGGGACGTTGACCACGAGGTACAAATAAATCACATCGTCACTTGTAACTCGGGGCAAAGCGGCTTCAAAATGCTTTCAAACCAGATGAGAAGTGGCAAAAAGGTGTCGCCATCGTTTTGAGTATTTTTACGCACAAGCCGGGGCCGATGTAAGGTGTTCTTTCATCGTGCGACAGTATTGCAAAGGTTTGTTTGTCAGTCATCCCCCAGCGTACGTGTGGACCATTGTTAGTTTTGTTCGTCTTGATGGAATTTGGAACTGCGTTGGGAATTTTCTTCATTAGAATGCTGGCCACCCAACGGGTTTCTTCTACGGAGCGATGCTTAATTATTGACCGTAGGACAATACAAACACGACAGCACGACGCATGGACGTCGTTGGGATAAGCGTATAAAATGCAGATGGAGCCTTTCGCTCGAACCACCGTTGAGAATACGCGCTGCGTCATGGGCGAATTGACGGATAAGTTCTCCCGTTGAGTAAATCGACGTACTTGTATAACCTGCCAACTACATGGTTGGATGGGTCGTCTTTGTCAACAGGGAGACGTCGACCTTCTCGCCGAAGCTGGAGAGATCAACTGGCGTGGCCTCCAGGGCACAGGTAAGCAGAAGAGGGGGCGGAGAACGCCGAGAGCATGAGTGGAAGTACAATAATAGCCAATGCAGGCCAGCCGTTCTTCTGTTCTCGAGCGATCGCCTGCGTCAGTGAAAGCCCTCGCCAGGGGATCGGCATCGAGCATAGGCACACAGTACTCGTCGACCGTACTTCTTGTAGACCTACCCGATCTGTATCACCCTACGTCCCCCCCGCCCACTGTATCAATTTTCTCAACGGACATGTGTTTGTTCCACAGTATTGAGTTGAGGCCACCGTGTGCCACGCCCACATGACGTTGTAGGCTTGTCATGTCCGGTTATTGAAACACAGCGACAACCATTGTCTAATGGCGACGTGATCTAGTCTATGAGGGCATCAGTATATTTTTCGATACGAGGTAGCGAGCGTGTGTTGAGGCCGACCCAATCATCCCTGGGTACCGTCTGTCAGGGTTATTTACGTGTCCATGTAGTGACCAAGTACGCTGTTGGCAACATAGACAGCAGCAGCGCACCCAAGCAGTGGCAGCCAAATTTGCGTGAGCGCGGTAGGTCTGTAGTATGCGTACGCATACCTTCGTATCAAAGGATTCGCGGCAGGTAGGCACGAGCTCATATTTTTCAACTTTTTTCTGAATTTTGTTTGGTTGAAAACCCGCAGCCGCGCGAATGGATGTGTATATGTGCATGCCGACCTCCCGACCTCTGACTCGGCAGTCTGCACGGAGATGCATGCACTGCTTTGCATCTCTGCTGACACCGCCACGAGCTTTTTCATCGATACTTAAAGAGATCCCTCTGGAGGATTTTTGCTGCAAAAGAAGTAGTTTCTGAGTTTTTGGGGTTGAAAGCCCGCAGCCGATCGGATGGATATGTGTATACTAGGGTTGGAGGATTGGCCCCCGCCCCCGTCATGGGGCTGGGGGGCCACCCCAGGGACGGATGGTGGTGAGTGTCCGGGAGGAAGAAAAGAAGAAGAAGGGGAGAGGATTCGTAGGGGGTGGAAGAAGAGACGGTGTTGGGAGAGGGAAGGAAGTGGTAAAGAATTTCGGCACTCGACGAGCGCGCGGTCCCGTCGGGGGTGAAAGGGACATGTCAGTCCGTAGTCTTGTCTATCGGAATCGGAAAGCCGAAAAAATCGAGGTATACATAATGCACATTGCCATGGAAAGGCCGACGAGGAAGGTACGAAGAGAGGCAATGGCACCCAACGTTCGAAGTCGGTGTGAAAACATCGACTCCGGTGTGTCATGTCGTGAAATGCTCTACGGCAACAAACGTTGTGTCTTATCGTTGGAGTTTGCTCGTCCCTCTTCGGGCCCTCTGTAACTGCACAGTTGTTCCTTTCTGTGCCCTCATTCGGTCTCGGAGCGCTACTTGTAAGCGGTAGTAACTTGACCTGCAAACGAAGGGCAAACCGACCAGCTGATTTCGAAGGATTGGCCGGCCACATGGGGGATGCATTTAAACTTCCGAGTGAACAAAGCATGTTTTATACGCAGCTGTAAGCCTCGTACTTGTGGCTTGTTGACGCAGCCGTGTCTAACCCCGACCGGAAGCATCAAGGCGCGCCATTGCTTCCGTTTCCCTGCATCCACAAATTCCGTCGACCGTCTTCTTCTCTTGCACCACTGCGCCGACAACAATACACTGTACGCTCTCGCATCCGTTGTGCAACAGGCACGCCCTCTCCGACGGCAGTTCCGACATCTGCAACTGCCACAGGTCAGTAGTGCTCCGTTGCCGATTTCATCCAGTATTTTTTTTAGCATCAATATCTCATCGATCTCAATAGTACCCACCGATCTGCTGTACCCGACGTGTCAGTCATGGGTCTTCGAAACTGCCAGTGCTTCATGCTACTGCTTCGACGTGCATCTACTCATCATAACGGGTGACCCATGGGCGGCTTAGCAAAACTGTCAGTAGTGTCGGAGATTGAGCCCGACGCGCTATCGTTCTGAGCTTTTCGCCAAGACCCTCCGTTTCCCTGCTACCTGCTACCCTCGAAGCAGGCGCCCTCCCTTATGATTTGCGAACCCCACCCCCTACGACGACGCCGGCGCCTGCAGCTGAAAGTGACCGGTCGTTGTTTTTGTCCGTACCGCTTAACGCAAATACTGTAGATATACTCACATGTACGGTGTGTTTCGCTCGTTTTTCGTTGTGGCTTCGGGTATTTCAGACCCTGTGACGTTAGTAACGTGCTTCCTTCTGCAGCTTTGACGCGCACCTGAATTATTTTCAGATCCAGACGCATACGGCGACATGATCTTGACTTCTCCCGTGATGTTCCCAGAGTTCCGTGTCAAGACGCCGACTCTGGTGTCATGTCGTGAAGAGCGCGACGTCGGTAAACACCCGTTGTGTTCCGAGGTAGTGTTAGTCGTCAGAGTTTGCTCGTCCCTCTCCGGACCCTCGGCAACTGCACAGTTGATCTTTTGTGTGCCCTCATTCGGTCTCGGAGCGCTACTTGTAAGCGGTAGTAACTTGACCTGCATACTTGAAGGGCAAACCGACCAGCTGATTTCGAAGGATTCGCCGGCCACATGGGGGATGCATTTGAACTTCCGAGTGAACAAAGCATGTTTTATACGCAGCTGCAAGCCTCGTACTTGTGGCTTATTGACGCAGCCGTGTCTAACCCCGACCGGAAGCATCAAGGCGCGCCATTGCTTCCGTTTCCCTGTATCCACGAAATTCCGTCGACCGTCTTCTTCTCTTGCACCACTGCGCCGACAACAATACACTGTACGCTCGCTCGCATCCGTCGTGCAACAGGTACGGCCCCTTCGGCGGCTGCTCCGACATCTGCAACTGCCACAGGTCAGTAGTGCTCTGTTGCCGATTTCATCCAGTATTGTCTTTAGCATCAATATCTCACCGATCTCAACAGTACCCACCGATCTGCTGTACCCGACGTGTCAGTCATGGGTCTTCGAAACTGCCAGTGCTTCATGATACTGCTTCGACGTGCATCTACTCATCATAACGGGTGACCCATGGGCGGCATAGCAAAACTATCAGTAGTGTCGGAGATTGAGCCCGACGGGCAACCGATCTGAGCTTTTCGCCAAGACCCTCCGTTTCCCTGCTACCTGCTACCCTCGAAGCAGGCGCCCTCCCTTATGATTTGCGAACCCCACCCCCTACGACGATGCCGACGCCTGCAGCTGAAAGTGACCGGTCGTTGTTTTTGTCCTTACCGCTTAAGCAAATATTGTAGATATACTCACATGCGGTGTGTTTCGCTCGTTTTTCGTTGTGGCTTCGGGTATTTCAGACCCTGTGACGTTAGTAACGTGCTTCCTTCTGCAGCTTTGACGCGCACCTGAATTATTTTCAGATCCAGACGCATACGGCGACATGATCTTGACTTCTCCCGTGATGTTCCCAGAGTTCCGTGTCAAGACGCCGACTCTGGTGTCATGTCGTGAAGAGCGCGACGTCGGTAAACACGCGTTGTGTTCCGAGGTAGTGTTAGTCGTCAGAGTTTGCTCGTCCCTCTCCGGACCCTCGGCAACTGCACAGTTGATCTTTTGTGTGCCCTCATTCGGTCTCGGAGCGCTACTTGTAAGCGGTAGTAACTTGACCTGCAAACGAAGGGCAAACCGACCAGCTGATTTCGAAGGATGGGCCAGCCACATGGGGGATGCATTTGAACTTCCGAGTGAACAAAGCATGTTTTATACGCAGCTGCAAGCCTCGTACTTGTGGCATGTTGACGCAGCCGTGTCTAACCCCGACCGGAAGCATCAAGGCGCGCCATTGCTTCCGTTTCCCTGCATCCACAAATTCCGTCGACCGTCATCTTCTCTTGCACCACTGCGCCAACAATAATACACTGTGCGCTCGCTCGCATCCGTCGTGCAACAGGCACGCCCTCTTCTCTGGGTGGCAATTAATTCACCGAACCGGCACGTGAAGGTCAGTGGTGCTCCGTTGCCGATTTCGCCATTATCGGTCTCAATCATGGCTCCTCGACACTGCCAGTGCTTCATGCTACTGCTTCGATGTGCATCTAATCATCAGAACAGCATGACTAACGTGGGTTTGAACACCCCGTCTAGCTCATGTAGCACGGACGCCTGCCGCATCTGTGTGAAATCATCATGATGTAGTAGGTCAGTCTATGTTGTGTTGCATCTATTGGACAGACAAGTTACCCCCACCGCTCGCACTACAAGTAGCTGTCTTCGAGTCTGCTGGCAGTGTGCTGACTGCGTAGAAAATCTGCTGCCAGGCGCAAGAGTCGCTTCAAGCTGATCTGAAACCGACGACGACCCCAGATTCCCGAGAGTGCGCAATCAATCGACCATTTGTCACGTCTATTCTGCGTCTGCCCGTTTTTTATTCACCTCCCTTAAGACCGGTGGTGATTCCAATGACGTGTTCATCCAAAACGAACAGTGGAGATGTGCGACGGCGGGATTTTCGGAATCCAGACGAGCAATGTATGGTGTTCCTTCAAGCTGCGGGTCAGGTTCCGGGTGCGGTTCCAGGACCGGTGGAAGCCTGGTGTGCCGGCCGGGTCAGGGACTCCGGGCTCGATCACTCTGTTTCGTGCAAAGCAGGGCCCGCAGTGGCCCGAGCAGTAGGGTGAAAGCAAATCGTTCCAGGATTTCTGCCTGGGCCCGCCTGCTTCCTTTGTCCGCAACGGGTCAGTTGCTGTGTATGTATAGTGCGTGAGGCATACTGCCAAGCGCAAAGGTGTTGCGTTGGTCTTAGCCGCTAAGAACCGTAGTACTACATATTTGTACAAGGCTCACCTCCCTAACGGGGATTAGGGGACATGCCTCCCGGGGGCGACGCAGGAGGACATGGTCAATCAATGTCATCGCGGTCGCATGGTTGCATCTCAACGTCATGACGTTCGGTAGTGCCGGTTTTGCGTGCAGCCTGCAGAACTTGCCCCCGAATTTGCGTCGTGTGGGGTATTTTTTTTCCCCCGCCGGGACTTTTCGCTTGCGCGGTGTGTGCTTCCAGGCTCGTGGCAGCTGCAGGTCCTACTGCTGTAATCCGCTGCGTTTGATCACTTACTTGTGTGATCGTGTTGTCCATGGTCCGTGGGATGTTGTATATGGTCCGTGGGACAATTTCGCGTAAACACCAACAACGGATAAGTGTTGATTTCTTTCGAATTGCTTCATTATTTTTCTTCGGTTTCTAAGCCACATATTGGGGAGTGAGACACGCGGATTGCCATCTTCTCGCCAGCCACATTGACTACGTGGCGCGTCGTTTCCTCTTACAAACCTGTCTCACTCCCCGCAAATAATACCAGCCGGGGGACTACGACTGCAAACAAAGGAGTCCCGAAACTGACCAAGCACCCAGATTCAACAGCACCCACATCGAGGTCATTTTCTGTACAACTACGGTACAAGTTGACTCTTTCCCCCCCCCGTACATTTCGTTCTCCCGGCCGACTCGTTGCTGTTCTGCTGCCGTCCGCAATTTCCCCGACGTCCGTCGCGAGTGCTCTAAGTTATTGTGCGACTTGTATGCATCCCACCTCCATTGTTCCTATCTCTCTGAATCACTTCACGTACTGCAATGTCTCCGCCTGAACCTACAGCCGTCGCTCCTCCGATCTGCCGAAGGAGTCCAACTTGGAACCCCCGGTTCGCGATCATATCCCTAGCCGTACGGAGGCAGCGCTAAACTTCGCTACTTCAACTGCTTAACAAGACTCCACGACGTCAACGGTACGGAGTCAGGCAGACGTTGCATGAAACGACAACAAGTCAACCACAAGAGCAACTGCACCGCTGTCTGCTCTCACGCCTAACCGCGGCCCGGTGACCTCGTCTCTGCTCATCGATGGTGGTCCAACCTTGTCTGGACCGGTGTTCTGACGCTCCCTTTGTCCGCAATCTCTCCCTGCTGCCCAAGGTAGCCCCCGCTACGCGGACGGGCACCCCTGGGTGAAGAAATGGGCAGCCTTGGGCGCCGTACCGTCCGCTCCTGCGGAGCGCTTCTCGCCCCCGCCCCCGTTCCCGCCCCCGTTCCCGCCCCCGCCCCCGCCCCCTTTGCCGTGACCGGCGGTGTGACTACCATCCCTGCCTCCGGTGAAGACCTCCGCCTCCGGCCGGTTCCCGAGCTCGCGCTTTCGTCTTTCGCCGTGGGGCTCGCGGTAGCGCTTTTTACGGCGATATGAGCTGGTCCCCGCCCCATAACGGGCGATACTACACTGCCGTGCCGACCCCCGCCCCTGCCGATGAAGCGAGACGCCATGTTACGCTCGACGGTGACCACCGGCAGAAAGTCCGCCATGACAGCTGGTGGCGCGAACCGGGTGGGTTCGAAGCTGATATCGGCGTCGAACAACTTCGACGCGAGAGCTTTTATGTTTTCGTTGATGAATGTCGCAGACCGGAATTGCTCACGTCGATTCGATGCTCACGCACCCTCTCCAGTCCAGATCTTCGACATCGTCGCTTGAGCTGCCGTTGATCGCCTGCGGCCTCGTCACGCTGCCGCTGCTGCTCATCCTCCAGTCCACCCCCAGTCCGCGGAAAATAGCCACCCCGATCACGTCGGTAGGGGCGCGACGAGCGCGCGGTCCCGTCGGGGGGTGAAAGGGCAATGTCAGTCCGTAGTCTTGTCTCTATCGGAATCGAAAAGCCGAAAATTCGAGGTATACATTTTGTACATAACGATGGAGAACGCCGACGAGGAAGGTACGAAGAGAGGAAATTGCACCCCACGTTCGAAGTCGGTGTGAAAACCGCCGCAAGGAAGGAGTGCGGAGGGGACAAAAAAACAATGGAGACGTGGACGTTTGCGTCGTGGAACGATCTTTCCGTATAACGTAGGTACTCACCAATGCAAGACAAAGAGAGGTAAAATACCCATCGTGAACGTCAAAGCGCAGGTCATAACTGCATATGACTCATGCGCGAAGAAATTCATTACACAATAATGTTGTAGTCTGCAGAAGTTAGATATTTGCTGGAAGTTGGTCAGAGGTTAGAATATATGCTGAGTGAATGAAAGAGTGCACATCCCGCATGGGACCCGTGGGTCGGCCAATGACTGGCTCATGGGATACATGGGCTGGCCCATGGGATACATGGGCCGGCAAATGGCTCCCATGGGATATTAGAGGCGTCCCTGTGATACGTGGGACAGTCATTGGACGCCCCGTGGAACATCCATGAGGCTTATGGAATATCCAATGCTTGAGGGGAGCCCTACAACATATGCCTTGCAGGCGTCCCGTGATTCGTCCTACCGCTTTCTGTAGACGCAAAGGAGAGTTAGCGCGTCTATTGCTGTATATGTATATATAGGAAGGTTTGTTCGTCGAAGCAGATAGAATAAACTGGTGTTTATTTTGTAACAGTCGAATTAGAATTTGGCTTCATTTGTGTGTACTCGTGTCCAACATCCATCGTGTCGGCCGTGTTCCTATTCGCGTCCCGCTACTCTTGTGACCTCACCGCTGCGTGCATTTAGCACGAGGGGGGAGGGTGCAGTAAGATAAGCGGCGGCAAGCCACCGCAGTCTCGCTCGCCGCGCCGCTCAGATAGGTCCCTTCCCAAACATGGGATGCGGTTCATCCCAACCGAGACGTACTCTCGCTGAAGAAAAAAAATGCGGTTCGTCCCAACCGAGACGTACTCTCTCTGAAGAAAAAATTCAACGGCAAAAAGAAAGAGCGGGGCCTGTTGTATGGTCGCACGCTGACTTGTCGCGGTTGATAGCAGCCATTGTACTGCACGGGGTGGAGGAACCCTGCGGCATCGGACATAACCAATCGACCCGCGGCAGTAGGGCATGATGCTGTCACGAGTATGCACATGAGGCAGGTGCCCTGTTTTTTCTGTTTCCCCCGGCTTACTAGGGACTACTTGCCGGTACAATCTTGTCTGTGCCGCGCACAGAGGGGCATATAGCTGAAGGAATCGACGATAATATGCCCACTCACGTAAGCAATCGTCTCCACGGATGGTATTGACAAGTCCCCACTGATGGTATCGACAAGTCCCATGGCATACAAAGCGGCCGCATACGTAATCGGAAAGTGCATTCAACAGCATTCACGGGAACGGATAAAAGCAAAAACACATGCATGCGAGAGAAAGACTCAAAGAAAAAGACTGAAAAACAAACAAGACGAGAAAAAAAAACGAGACAGCGAACTACGTGCTGTATGCATAAGGAAAAAGAAGATGAGAAAAAAATAGGGGGGGAGAGGTGAAAGTGACACGCGAGGTTCGAACTCGCGAGGAACGTCAGGTAGCGGTCCACGTGAGTGCATCACGGTCTCGAGGGGCATCACGTCAAATTTATTGCCGCTGTGACACAAACCTTCTATAAGAATACGTCACGTCCATCGACGATTAAGCGACCAAAAACGCCCGGACAGCAATTGATGCATGCCAAAAACTCGTCAACGTGCCGTAGGATTGTCTATGCGGAAGTGATCTCAATGAAAAAAAAAAACAAGGACACGCACCAGCACGGGACGCGCCAATAGTGGAAGCACTCGTCCGTGCTGTTGGCGAGTGGAAGTTAACCGATCTCAACGCAACGAAACACGAAGTCATACATGTATCAGCACGGGATGCGCCAATGAGTGGAAGCACCCGCGCTGTTGGCGAGTAGAGTTAACCGAATTCAACGCAGCGGTAGAAAAATACCACAAATCATGCATCAGTACGGGACGCGCCAATGAGTGGAAGCACCCGTGCTGCATATGTGATGTCAGCCTCAGCACGGGACGCGCCAATGAGTGGAAGCACTCGTGCGGTTGGTGAGTAGAGTTAACCGATCTCAAAAAGAAAGAACAAAACGCCGTACATGTATCAGCACGGGACGCGCCAATGAGTGGAAGCACCCGCGCTGTTGGCGAGTAGAGTTAACCGAATTCAACGCAGCGGTAGAAAAATACCACAAA